GAAAATAAAATACATTAAGCACTCTTTTCCACTATAAAAAGACTTGATCAAGCAATGTTTGTTTTGCTTCTTTTTTTAAAGAAAAATCATTCATTTAACAACCACAGCTGAACAATGGCGATAACAGAAGAAACAAGCCAGATATATGACAGCGCACAGAAGAGCTATAATACAATTTCAATAGGTTCCTATTTCTAAACCATTTATTACCTGCTTGCAATCAATTTTCTTTATATTTAAACTATTGTTACTTAAAAGATACAGAAACCGGGTCTACAAACAATGGCGGATCAAACTGGAGCGCCTACATGAATATAGTGTTAGTTATCATTATGCGTTACATCTCATAAATTCTTGATAAAGTTTACACATCATTAAACTTTTATATTTTTCAGGTGTGTGGTGGCCGGATCTGGGGTTCTTGGTATTCCATATGCTTTACAACAAGGAGGATGGATATCTTTGATTCTTCTAATTCTATCGGCACTTATGTCTACATATTCAAGCATAAAATTGATAGAATGTATAGAGTATGGGTATAGTAACAATACATCTTATATCTAAAAATTCTTATCCATAAATTAATATAAATTAATATAAATTTATATTGTTATTTGTGATTACGTTTATGCGCAGTAAAACTCGCAAAACATCTGTATCGGATATAGCATATGAAGCGTTTGGTAATATTGGATTATGTGTGGCTGGTTTCTTTTTTAACGTAATAAGTTTGGGTTGTCCGATCCTTTATCTTGTTCTCTCTGGAGGTAATCTACAAACATTGTTCAGTAACTATGGAATCGATTTGGGAATAGAAACATGGATATATATCTGTGCTGGTACCATGTGTATTCCATTCATTTTTCTTAAAACAATGAAAGAAACCGCTTGGCTAAGGTATATCTCTTTTCACTATATGCTTTTCGTTTTATCCTACTTATCTAATGTTATTCATACATTATTCCTTCCCAAATCAATTCACATTAGTATATTTGGTGTTGTGACAACGTCGTTTGTCGTATTAATCGTGCTCATAATGTCCACAATTGATTATCCAAACAATTCAAAAAATCTTCATGATTTTGTCAACCTTCGGAATCTTCCCATCGCGCAGTCAACTTTCTTTTTCAGTTTCGGGGGTAATGTCGTTTACCCCCATATTCAAGCTAGGTAAATTACTTTTATTGTTTTAAATGTTGTATTGTTATGCTAAAGCATTATTTAATCATTTAATCCTCATATTATTCATAAATGCTTATTAGCATGAAAAATAAAGGTGATTGGCCTAAAGTGGTTACGCTTGCGAAATTCACCATTACTTCTATGTATCTTTTAATCGGTATTCCCGCTTACTTAACTTATGGCCGATCCACAAGATCTCCTATATATCTCAGCCTCCCACCCGGTTTCATTGTTGATATTACTATGATAATGATCACTATGCACGTTCTTTTTGCACTTCCTGTCTATCAAACTGCTTTCTCTTTAGAAATAGAGAATTATTATTTTGTAAACATTTCTAATGAAATTAATAAGTTCATTTTACGTACAATCATTCGTTTAACCCTTGTAATTTTCACTATATATATCGCAACAACTGTACCATATTTTACCAATATCATGTCATTATTAGGTGCATTAGGCAATGGTGTTTTATTAATGATTTTACCAATATCTGTTTGGATAAAATTATTTGGTTGGAATAATATCCCAAAGTTTGAAAAATTTTGGGTTATTTTTATTTTATTTTTCGCTCTTTTTGGTGCTATTGTTGGTACTTGGGATGCATTAAGTGCTTTAACGGCAGAAATTATGGACGGAAATTGATTAGTTATTTTCACTTTTTTTTTCTGTTAATAAATAATAAAATAATAATAATAATAATGATAATAAGGAATTATCTTTACCATATGTATGTTTATTATATCTATATCTCGTTGTTCGTCTGTCACCACTGACCAATCAGAATCTTGATATTTGTATCACGTGTAGAGCTGGCATTTACTGCTACTTAAATTTTTCATGAGGAAAAATTTTGTTTATATTAAAATCATAAATCTAGTTTCTTACTATGTATATATATATGGTTATTCGTATTTCATCTAATTATTTGTTAGTCCTAGTAAGATACTGTACGTATTTGTGATTTAATATATATAAAATTTCTTCTTAGCCACCTGTAATATTATAACCGATTTATGCAAAATGTAAAATATTTTGATACTATCGCAAAAATGTAGCGGTAGGATTTTCGTACGTAAGGTGGATGTTAAATATACTGTACATGATTTTTACATTATTTTAATATCATTATTAATTTATTAATCATATCATACAGCTCAATTACAATTAATATACTGTATTTACGTATACTGTATATGCTTCTACATCAATGTTAATAAAATTAAATTAAGAATACGTTCGATAAAACTATCTTTATTGAAATTGCATAGCATAAGTCTTGTCACTCTAATTCCGTTAAAAGAACTATATGTTTAGTTCTTGTGAAGCATTGATCTCACCTTTCTTTTTTACTAACAAATCCGCACCAGTAAGAACAAAGGAGCACCAATATGCCGGATGAGAATTAATAAAGTGACACATTGCTTTGTTTAAACATTCAGTTACTCGACCTCCATTTTTTAATTCTAGGTAAAAAATATCCATTAATTTAGCTGTGACGTCATCAATAACCTTTCGTGGACTCGCCAATACAAGCCGAACGCCAGAAGCACAAAGCTCTCGTGTAAATCCGATAACACTTTCTGCTGCCATCTGTCCTCCACCACAATTACATGCTCCCAAGACAACGAAAGTGCACTCCTTTCGAATATTAGCTGCTAATTCTGTTGCAAAAATAAAATGCTGACTTTCGTAAGAATCTACCACTGCATCCCATTCATCATATGAATCTTCTAAATATAAATGTAAAGGGTATAGTGATTCTCCTAGCATTTCACCAGGTGGTTCTTTTACAAACGGATCCCTTCCTTCTTCAAAGCTTCCCTCACTTTCTTCCGGATTCCATGATACTAACAATGCTCCACGAACAAATGGAGGTGGTTCTCTTAAGAATTTTATTTTGAGAGAACCATGAGTAGCAAAGTGAATAATAGATGCATTCTTAACTTCATTTAGTACAGCTTTCTTGGTAGCATGAATATCTGTTAATGGTGATGAATTTAAGTGAAATGCTACTTTTTCACATTCTCGTTTCATATTGATTAAAGGTCCAAAATTTTCTGTCAAGTTTTCATGAACGGATGGATAACCCACAACAGTCGCATAATCAGGGGGCATTTGTAAAATATTTTGGTTAGATTCGGAACTGGTATTAAGATACCGGAATATAATAATCGAAAAACCAAACAAAATTGTATATCCTTCTTTAATTAGATAATGATTTTGGGGTTGGCCTGGTACTGGTAATGCTGCGAATGGAATATTATGTAAAAGACCTTGAGGGAATATCACAAGATTTTTACAATTACAATCTTGAAGATATTGCCATGCTGGTTGAAGAAGAGCATCTGATAATTCTTTAAGACAAGATGTACATGATTCAATTTTATCGGAATTTTCAACATTATCACTATACAAGTTGCTACCACGTGAACCTCGAAAATTCAACACCTCATCCATCTCATTCTCCATGTCATTAATTATCTCCAGATTAAATGGTACGGAAGTTGCAAAAATAGATTTGTCTTTGTGTGGAGGAATAAGCCATATTAATACAATTTGTGACAATTCTACATATGTATAAATTAAAAGAATCGACTGTGTTTCAACTGCTGTATCAAGAATTTGAGAAAAC